GAGTACTCGTGGTTTCTCCTTTGAATTCATGTAAAAATTCTGAGCTCGATGTTATTATTGTGCAGGCTATTTTTATTCTAAAAATTCGGAAGTAGCGATGCAGAAAGAACTGACAAAGGAAGGTAGATTTCAATTACCAGCTACTTCCACCACTCCTTGCTTTAGCTGAATCATCCTTGAATGTAAAATGCGTAGCTAGAGCTAAATAATGCTATGCATCTTTGAAAGAAAATTTCACATAGCACACTTGAAGTGCCAAGCCCTGTTCCGTGTTTCCAGAATTGAGCAGAACATAGCTCTGTCCCCCTGTACACAACAAACAGCTTGCCGAGCAGACAGAACATCCCTACGTGCTTAAGCAGGACTTTTCATCCAAGGGCCAAAAAAGCATCATACAGTTAAATTTCACAACATTTCTGCAAGGAGAATATTACTCAGTTCCCTTTTTGAAGCGGACCAAGAAAAGCCATCATGACCACAGAGAATAAAATCACACTCCTAAAAATAAAGGGTATGAACCCTTTCTAGATTCCCAGTTCAGTACTGGAACCACTGCAGCATGCACATTTAAAAGTATGATGAATAGCAATCAAAGATTCCCTAGAAGACATAACATGCTTAAAAGACCCTGAGAAGTCTCTTGGTTGGCCTGGACCTTAAAAAGCAGGACGAGTTATCACATGTGCGTAGCAAGGAGTGGCCTGAAACAGAAGTCTCATTTGTCAAGGGTGGTGTGCTTGACTGTATTTTTCTTCCTCCAATTTCACTTATCTCAGATAAAGATAGAGGCAGAGAACCTCTCCCAGCTGCTGCTGAGTTCAGAGCTAAGGAGAAACCTGGGGATGCTGTATGCCATTTAGAAGGTGTCTTTGTGCTGTCTCTGGCAGGCATGCCACAGGGTGCCTCTCTCTGGCACACGCAGGAAAGAATTCAATGTGCAAAATGAAACAGAGAACACTTCTTTATACAGCAGATACAGGCAAACTGGAACTGACTGCAGGAGTTAATAAACAGTAAAGACCTATCTAATGAATAGGGGAAATGGGTATTCACTGTAGAACTCCGTGAGGTCAGCTGCACACCAGTCTCTTGCTGGGAAAGAAAAGAGCGCTTTGAATCAGAAGGATATCTCCGTGATCCAGGGAAGTGCAAAATCTAACAGACTCCAAGCGAACAGCAAAACTCAAACCTAATACAGCTCGCATTACGAAACGATGGCAAAGGTAAGACCTCTGTCTGAAAACAGGAATATATATAATCCATCCAAGCAAAGACTCAGCCAAGGAGACTGGAGGCACATCAGAGCATCCCCCACTGCACAGCAAATAGAAAGTGTGAAGGTCACCACAGAAAGTAAGTGGTTCTGGATGCAGAACAGAAGAGAAACTTGTTTGCACACCCAGGAGCATCACAAGAATCCTAGTGACATACCAGATGCCAGGGGATTTTTAACTGTGTCCCTCTCTAATTGAGGATGAAGCACACACCAACACCATTATCTGGCCTGAAGATACTGGCTTACAAAATATGGAACAAACAATAGGAACAGATGCTCATTTGGCCGGATTTCAATAAGCCTCATTAAAACCAAACACCCTGTCTTTGGAGCTCAGGTTCATGCTACATTTCTACCTTATTTAAGCACCTAGCACCAATTCCTGAGAAAGCTGTCCACTTGTGGTTGCACACCAGTAGTATCATAAAAAGAAATCCTCTCACAGACATTTTTTGGTTCCTACAGAGATAAGCAGGAGGATTTTACGTGTGTGTGTGTACACATATATAAAAACACAATTAGAGGTTGCATTTCCTTTTTAACGACATTAGGTCAAATATATATATCAGACCTGTTGATCACTCAAATGCAATGGCCAAAAGATGCCAAAAGATTAATGGAAAAACTCCTGAGGATGGAAGAGAACCAATGTTACAGATCACACAGGTGACATCTGTGTATCACAATATGTAATTTTTAATTCAAGTTCCCACCTCTTCAGTCAAAACAAGAGCACACTTGAAACAATTTCTAGTGCTCCGTAATTGCTTCTACCCAAATATGTCCAAGTCCCATCAAAGGAGTTTCAGAGGACAAATACCAGAAAAGAACAGCTAAAAACAAAATACAAAGTTGCATCAGAACGGGATATTCTAGTTTTATTTTAGAATTACTGAATAAAACTAGATAATCCATAGGTTTGCAAAAGCCACTGAGCACCTGGCTGCACAGTCAGCATAACGTGGTATAGAAGACTGGGCAGACGAGGTTTCCTAACAAACACAGACTTCCTTGAGTGGTCAAAAAGACAGCAGCCCTGTGCTACTCTCCGTACTTGAAAACGCATATATGTTTATTACGAACTTCTTTTCCCTCCATTTTAGAAAGAATGCCAGTTGTTAGGTTGGTAAGTTACACCTGACTGTCCTGTACAGAAGCATTCCTTCACAAGAGAGCTTGATGGATGGACAGTGCTTCAGTCTGAAAAAAGATATCCCAATATTGATGTGTGTGGCCTCAAGGGAAACCGCATGTCATTCTTTGAACAAACTTTAGGAACATCAAGCACATGGTCAGCCAATGGCATTAATACAGTCTTAACACAGCACAGTTTTCTTTTTTGCAAGTAGGTGCAGAATCAGAAATTCTGTTTTTGGAAAAAACATCGTCCCTTGACTGACACTTCTGACAAGCATGTGATAATGCTGACTGTGGCTCCCAGTCAGGGCTGATACTGCACTGCAGAATCAGAAAAGGTAAATCATGATTTCCAAAGTAATCCTTTTTGTCTTTCAACGCCAGTTAAAAAAAAAAAAAAAATTGAAACCCCTTTTCCAAAAGTGCTGTAAGATAAAGAAACACACAGTTATACTTCCCAGTATTCACCCTCTCGACAAAACATTTTAAAGTCCAAGGCTGTAAGACACATCAATCATGGAGGATAAAACTCGCCATGTGCATAAGGCTAGGAGAAGGCCTCTGAACTCCTTAAATCCCATTTAAGCCCTTCACCTAGGGAACATTTAACAGTTGTGCCATTTGCCTAAGCCATCACTGAGCCATCTGCATTTAGCTAACTGGATTTATAAATGCTTCAACACTTCTGGAATTTGAAAGACAAGCTTTCTTAGAACCTATTTCATTCTGGTTTGCAGCTGGGAAGGCAAAGGAAAGGAGTACAATATCCGGGCAAGCTAGTACTAGGGGAAATATTTCCCCAGAAAAGTCCTTATGTTTTTTCATATATATATTATATATGTATGTGTGTGTGTATATATATATGCATGTATACATGTTTTTTCATATATATGTGACGGCAGATTGTCCTACAGCATATATACATATATATATATTGTCCTACAGCATATAGGGACACAATACTTGAAAACACATGCTTTTTCATCTCCAGGCTGATGGTTTAAATTCATCCTCAATAACATGAAACAAGTCTTGCTGTTCCTGCTTTGAGCCCTACCCACACCTCTTACCATGATCCCACTGAAACAGAGTTTTAGGAGAATTTATTATTTGGGGCATTAGGATGTTAAAGGTATGTCATTTCAGTTAAAAGAGGCGTCACGTAAATTAGGTGTAGTTCTTGCACATCCTTGCTCCTTAGTAAGACGATCGGGTCAAACAAGATGCTACAAAGCAGAGGGGGTTGAACGGGTTTACTCTAGCTAGCTTGCTGCGAGCTGCTTCATGGCATCAGAATGATGCTGTACGCTGATACAATTCAGTCAGAGCTGCTCCGGTGCCTTGCTCAAGGAGTTTCACCTACTTTGTATCATAAAGCACCTTAGGAAGCAGTGTGCGATACCAGTCATCTTAAGCTAAGAATGGAGGTGTTGGTATTAAATATTAGCACTTTGTACCAAGATTGGTAGCTTCTCTCTGAGGCACTTCTCCACTGGAAGGTAACCTGGCACGTCAAGCACAGTTTACGAGCACTAAGCCACCTGCAAGCACAACGACAAACTTTTATGATGGCCAATTCCCTGACAGGAAACAAAAGTAATGGGACATCCAAATTTTGCCAGCAAAATCCCAGCAAAGATTTAGCCGGGAAATTATCTTAAAGGTCAATACAAAAGTGGGCCCTGAAGGGACAAGGCACCTTTAACAACCATTCAAAGTACAAAAGAAAAGGACTTCAAGAAGATCAAGGAATAAATAACCGAAAGAGAAAACAGGCTTTTGAGTGGTCAGGTTTGTGGTGACAGAGGAGTAACAAAATGCCAGCTGGTTTCGGTAACAGATGGCTGCGTGCACTGATCTGTCCTGCCATGTCCATTCTAAACTTCCTTTCAGTGGAAATATGAAGCTTACACAAGGCTAAACGCATCCTTCGCACAGCCTTTCTAACATATTGCATCATGGTTCAAATGTTTTCTGTTCACAAACAGCCCTACATGTATGTTATTTTACTCTAGTTATGCCAACTTTCAAGAAAAGAGTGCTAATGGCACCTCATCTTTTCCAATCACATCTACTACAATTCTCAAGGAATGACTTTTCTCTGATGGTTTTCTTACCATCCTGACTGCCATATCTCCCTCCTCCCTTTCCCTTAAATACAGCATTGACTGTATTTTAATTGAAAGGTCTTTCTTTTTGCATCTCCCCTCTGGTAGCTAAGAAAGGGAACCATGATACAAAGAGCTCCCAGGCAGTATTTTTAGCATGTATCTGGACATTCATCACTTGAAGTTGCCACAGCTGATTACATGGCAGGCATAGGTCATCCCACTGGAAAAGCCGATTACTTGTATAGCAGAATGAACCCTTCAATACTAGATAGCTCAGGACTCAAGTAATCATTTCCAACAGAGAAAACCAGCAAGTCTGAAAACTCTACACTGAAGGACAGAAAAGCCTATCCAAAATACTTGCTTTCTGTTTAAATATTTTTTTCTAACTGCAATTTTTAACAAGAACTTTTCTTTGATTAACAATGAACAATCTGCTAAAAAACCCTCAAAACCAAAGCCATTCTCTTACTTACTTTGGCCACACAATTTTCAGTCTTCATAGCAGTGCTTCCTAGACATACTGTTTCCTGGTTTAAGCACAGTCTGGCACAGCTGTTGTAGGTCTGCAGAAAGATTAAAATCATTATGAATAGAAGAACACGATTTTCTTTCAGGCACCGCGTTTTTGGCACAGGAACCCACAACAACTCTACTACATTTCCTTTTTCCTAAGGTGTAAACGTTTCAAACCAAAATAAACTAGTTTACAGCAAAAGCCTATGTTGAGGGCATGCATGTCCTCTGAGAAGCTATGTACAATTTTATAGTTCTGAGATACAAAGAAAAAAAAAGATTTTTCTCCTCTTTTCCTTTGAAAAAGGAAAAAAATACCTGATCGCAGTCGTTCGGTCTTTCACAAAATGCTGCATAACTGAACAACTAAAACAAGGTGATTTCTAGATGCTAGTTATCAAAGCGTATGTCAAATGTTAATAAACATCGCCTGTCTTTATCAGGTAAAAATACATGGGGACAGTACAAAGGTTATAATCAGAAGGGAGCAAATGCAGACCACATCTCACTGGTATTTAATCTTCCCAATTTTGGAAAGCTATTTCTTTTAAAGTAGAATGTTTTTTTTTCTTTAACTCATACACTGTCCTGCCCAGGGGACACTCAGCTGAGGCTGCAGACTTGGAGTCTTTGCAGAGCACATTACTCATAGTCTCTCCCTTTTTTAAGGACAGCATATGAACAGAACTTAGGAAGTGTGCTTAAAATTATACTTTGGTTGATTTGGCTATTTAAACTAAGATGCCTGAAGAACTCAGGAGTTTCTAATGGATCCACCACCCCCCAACTTTCAACACCTTTTTAATTACTACTTGATTAAGCTCACATTTTCTAGTAGGGGGGAGAGTACAGTAGCGCCTAAGAGCTCCAGTATTGGATTAAAACCCCAGCGCCTGTTGCCATTTACAGAAAACTGCTCCCAAGCAAAAGTGGCAGCCCAAAAGCAAGCACAAACGTGCTATGTTGCAAGAGTAGTTAAGTGGACCACAGAGAAGATGTTGCTACCTCAAATAGTTACGTGGGGAAAACACAAGAAGCATGTTGAAAGAGAATGAAATTAAACTTGCTACAAAGACATTTCCAAGAGCACTAAGTAAAACATACTAACATTCATGATATTTTTAAGATTGCCTTAAGGGGAGGACGCACAAAGATTTGTAGTGAACTGCCTGTCAGTTTTCTCCCTGTAATATTTGCTGGCAATCTCTGAAGATCCTTCTTCCGGGGCTTGCTACGGATTTCTATTTGTTTGGTTTGAAACTAATTCAACCCCAAACCTGCCATAGGTTACAAAACCTGCGGGCAACACTGGCATGCTGAGGGCTCCTAAACCTCTGCCTCTCCTCCAAAGCTACGGCATCAGAGCCAGATTCCCTCAGCGCAAAGCCCCAAACAAACGATCGCCCCTTTCTGCCCCTCTGCCACCGGCCTGACTCTGCGCAAGATGCAGGCAGCAGCAACACGCAAACCAGCAGAGGAACGCATTGCAAGAATGCAAAGAGATTAAAAGGGGGTTACGCTGAGCGATGGGAGATACATCCACAAACCCAGTGTTCCTAACAGTTTCCAGCTCAGGAGGACGGTAAGCACCAACGGGTGGGAGCTGCGTGTTCACAATGAGTTTATAACATTATTCACCAAAGTTCTTGTGATCCTCATTAAACACTCTCTACCGCCCACCATGGGAAGCCAGTATACTGGCTCAGGGGGATCTGTACTGGTCCAGCAGAGCACAGACACTCTTGTGGGAACTCAGGAAATCACAGTCCTTTCCACCTCACTTCTTTACAGACCCCCTTTAAACTCCATCATGAAACAGAAACAAAAAGGAGCACAGAAGCCCTATCTTCTCCATTGCTTTAGCGGTTCATGTTTTATTTCTCAGTGAGCTCTCTAACCAGAAAACAACCAGTGACAGACAGGAACGCAGAATATCCTGGCTCCAGCAGATCTTCTTACAAGTTATAACATCGATATCTGCTGCGACTAGCAGCCAGCTAGCAATTTCTGACTCTGGATCCAGAAGGAGAAACTGAAAAATTCAAACACACGAATCCTTTCAAAGTGCCGTGCAGATGAACAGGGAGCATCTTTCAGCAAGGGAGGTTTCAGATTCAAACTGGGATTAGGCCACAAGCAAACAGAAGTCTGATGGACTCGACTTAGCCTCTTGCAAATATTTGCCAACATCATAAAACCATCACTCTGGTATGTACAGCACTTTCTCCTCAGAAGAAAGATCAGAATGGCATAAACTATTATATATCGTGGCTTAGGTGCAGTGGCCCAACTGGTGGACAGAAAGTTGACACCATCTGCTTTGCACTGACGTTCAGACAATATCATGCAAACCTCATTTTATAAGCATCGTGTTAAATTCAACCAGACTCTGAAGGTGAAAAAACATTAAGAGTTTACAAGATTCTTTGGTCATTATTTACATTTGTGTAATTTAACCCATTTATCATAAATCTGTTACTTCTTTCATTTGCAATTTAGTTCTTAAAATTCCAGTAGCAGTATTTCTGCACCACTTCTCTGCTACATACTGTAAATTTTACGAGGAGCCCTGACTTGAAGAAAGCTACTAACTCCACTTTGCAGATGAAAAGCTCAGCCACAAAAACATTTACTGAAAGCAACAGGGAAGCCTGTGGCTCCATGAACTGAACCATGAACCGAACTCAGATCTTGTCAGTCTTTTCCCTCCCAAGACAGGTATGCACAAACCTTGGTAGCAAGCCAGCTTTTTAAAAGCCAGGCTTACAACAGGCTTTCTCTCACGTTTACAAATGGGAAAGAACAGACAATCCAAACACACAATGTGAAATACTAAATGCTAAATCTAAAAGCCCTACAACTTTCTGAGAAGGAAGGAAGCTCACTATGCCACTATTCAAAAGTTGTGTCTATGGCAGAACGTAGATACAAGTAATTATTCCAATGTATTGCTTAATTTTTATTATTTTCATCCACACCGAACATCTAAGTGTGAACAGCACCAACGGAACTGCCAGCCTAACTTGTTCATCAAATCCCACAATACCAGGACTAGTGACACTTGATGGAACTAGCATAGTATAAATTTAAAGCAGATAAAATGAAACACTTCTTCACACAGCAGGCAGTGAACTTCTGGAGCTTGCTGTCCCGGGCCACCGTGGCGAGAAACAACATCAGCAAGTGGAAAAAGGGATTAAACCAACTCATGGACAGCAGGTCCACAGAGTACTCCGCAGAGATATCCCCTGGACATCCCTAGTGCAGCAGCAGTAGATGCCGCAGCGGCAGGAGGGGAAGGGAGCACAGACAGCGGCCAGACTCATTTGCTCTCATTCAACAGCATCTTCCACTGACAGTGCAGCTGGAGTCGGCACCGGAGGAGTGGACGCTGGGTCCGACTGACCTGGGCACTCCCATGCTCTCAATACCTCCCTGACCTTTCACAACATGCCAACGGTACTTAAATCCCTCCTTCCCAACCTTTTCAGCCACAGAAAGGAGACAAGAACATGCTTTTACTGTGAGAATCAACTTTTACACAGTAACTTTATTACATAAAGACGTATGTAAGTGCCAAATTACCTGACGACCATTTAGTCCTTCAGCAGCTCTTTGTTTCTCAATAAAAGTAGCGGGGAAAAAAAGAAAATTAAAAGGAGTATGTATAATGGATTCAACCCATCAGGATGGAGATTTGAGAATAAAACATACAGTGATCTTCAGTTCAACGTCCATTACTATGTTTGCAAAGTTACAAAGTTGTTCTTATTTTCACATTCTGACAGAAGAATGCATTATCAGCCTTGTGGGATGAATAAAAAGGGTAAAGAAGATTCATGTGCATGTCCTACAATACGTTTAAAAAGGTTTCAAGCAAAAACGCAAACGAAAGCCTACTTCTCCCTTAAAGTCCAGGGGAAAAAAGAGGTAATGTCACTACTTAATAGGTCTCAATGGAAACGTATCAATAACGTTGCAAAGAAGCTGCATCTGGCTCCTGAAGTGAAGTCATGAGAAGCTGGGAGAATATATTGTGAAGGTAGTAACGATACGGCTGCCCCCTTCTAACGTTCCCCTGTAGGCAGCAGTTACTGGCTATTGGGAGACACAAGATTACTGCTGGACATGGAGATTTGATTTCATCTGGTATTGTTATATTTATGCTCGTACGCTAGGAGTTACTAGTGAATAGACCTAACTGAAAGTAGAATGAATGTCATATCATCAAGGAATAATGCAGAGCCCTACGTTTTAGGTGAAACGTGATGGTGTCTCATGCTACACTGCAACATCAGAGTACCGCCTTTCGTTCATTCTGACGCTGATGGGAACATTAACTAACCTGGAAGAAAACCAAGAAAATCAGAACCAAGCCTCAGAAAAGCAAATTTCTCAAGCTCACCTTTAAAGCTTGACCCTTTTACGAATCTTATCTAATTTGCACCAAAACTGTTCAAGTTTCTCCTCACCTTTCATCAAGATAAGAGGCTTCTTTGCCAAGGAAAAGCAGTCTGAAATGGTACCCTGGTTCAACGCCACAGGCAGATAGCTTTGCGTTGGAGTGCTTTAATATGTTTTTATATTGCATATAAAGCATGCAAACATAAACCAGTTTGTTGAAAACTACCCTCTTTGTGGAAGCTGGCTGTAATTCTGAACAAGTTTTCAATTTTCGCACTGCTGCTAGGGTAAAACATTTTAAAGAGTTTAATTTTTACAGTGGCTTCAATGACACGAGATTATCTAACAAAGTAATGGTTAATCAATAGAGGGCTTAGTTGTCAGGTGAAACATATAACACACTAAAAGGGATTGATTGCAAGGCTCCTCCTTATTTACTGGGAGGTATATATTTAAAATGACACAAACTTGTTACCAAGCTGCATTCCTTTAACCTTGCAAAAGCCGTTTGAGAACAGTGTTAAGCAGCCCTATAGCAAAACAAGCTCTAATGAAAAAAAAAAAAAACCTACAAATATATGGCAGCACCAAATCATGTCAGAAGCAGGGGAACCACAAAGCTGTATTCACTCTCAGCCAAAGGCTT